CATGGTGACGAGTATCTATACGTCGGTGTCTAGCATGACCGTGAGTCCTTAAATTGTGAATATCTTGATTTCGTTGTATCTTTCATGCCTTGGTGATGATTTATATTTGTTGTGAAAATCTTGTGGAGGGAAATTGTGACCTTCAAACATCGAGGAGCATTTGGCTCAAGTTATATTACAAATTGTGAAAGTATATGAGATGATTGAAACCTTTGGAGCACTGGATCAAGTGGTAAAGTGAGTTATGAAATAGAAGTGAAAGAAAGAGAAAGAGTTATTAAATCGTACCCTTGTCGGGATATTGTTGCTTGTTGATTATCTCCCTTGCCGGGATGTTGAGATTATTGATGTTGTTCCCTTGCCGGGATGTAAGTATTTAATTGTGTTCCCTTGCCGAGATTTCTATCATTATCTTGTTTATTTCCTTGCCCCTTTGTTGTGATTGTTGTTTGGGTGATGAAGAGTGTTAAAGCACGAAGGGTGATGTCGTGTATTGTTTGCTATTGTGAGGAAAGAGTGTAAAGCACGAAGGATGACGCCGTGCCGCACGATGTACCATTCCGTGCCAATTCTATTGATTATATGTGAGGAAAGAGAGTAAAAGCACAAAGGGTGATGCCGTGCACATTTTATCATATAATTGCTTTGGTGAGGAAAGAGAGTAAAAGCACGAAGGGTGATGCCGTGCACGTTTTTATTATATCATTGCTTGGTGAGGACGAGAGTAAAAGCACGAAGGGTGATGCCGTGCACTTATTGATTTCTGATTCTTGTTGACATTTTAGTTATGTTGTTCCTTTCCTTACTTGATGCTTTATTCGGAACTGTTATCTCCCCAGCAGCATGTTTCCCCCTCCCATCTTTACTTGTTTATTTCTGCTTTATTTTCCGCTGTATATTGTATAACTGCGCAGGTTTATTTGGTAGTCTGGTCCTAGCCTCGTCACTACTTCGCCGGGGTTAGGCTAGGCACTTACCGGCACATGGGGTCGGTTGTGCTGATACTACACTCTGTGACTTTTGCACAGATCCAGGTCCCGGAGTAGCATTTGGTCATCAGCAGTAGATTGGGAGCTAGCCTTCAGTCCACGGAGACACCGAGGTAGCCTTGCAGGCGTTCGCAGGCCCGGCGTCTCCTATATCCTTTATTTCCTTCTGTTATCTCATGTATTCGAGACAAACAGTGTTATATTTCTTTCAAACGGTTGTATTTAGTACTCTTAGTAGTCCGTGGATGATGTGACACCAGTTCTTGGGTAGAGGCACATGTTGAATTCCGCATTCTTGTTCGGCTTATTTTAATTTAAGTCTCCCGCTTTAATTTCATATTCCGCTGTAATTTATTTGTTTATTTTCGGTAAAATTAATTGGTTAAAAAGGAATTAGAAACAAAAAGAGTTAATGACTTCTAAGATCGTGGCTTGCCTAGCTTCTACGAGTAGGCGCGATCACGACTTCCGAAGGTGGGAAATCCGGGTCGTGACATGGGAATCCCTGCTGGTTAAGCTAATTAGCCAGGCGAGTCCGGAATAGGACCATAGCACTTCACGTCAATATAATTGTTAGTTTGTAGTTGTATAGCAATTCATCTAGTGCAGTAAACTCGATCAGTAGGATTATGTAATTTTATTCTTATTATAGTTGTAATTTAATTGAAAGGCCAATTAGTTGTAATTTGAGTTTCTCTTTGTATTGGTAGTTCTTTTTTTTTAATTTCGAATATTTGATTCAAATTAGTATTGTGAATGTTTTAAGCATTTATTTCGTTCCATCCATAGTAATTAGAGATCAAAAGAGACCCAGCATCTGAACATGCATGGTCTCAGTAAAAGACCGAAATTGAGTTAATTTGGGCCATAGCCCAATATGTTATTCTAATTTAAGAGTCCAACGGACTCTGAATTTACTGGTTTATTAATCGTTATCATGCCTCAATTGCTTGCCCCCTTTAATATCTAATAGTAACAAACTCATTAGTTAGTCATCTTGTAATCTGGTCACAAATAAATACCTCTTTTGAATGTTCTTGCACCAATTCAGTCTTAGTTAATTAATTATGATCACCTTCAGACCTCCACTGTTGAATCTTACACTTACTCCACAACAAATAATTTTCATAATCCTTGCCCTTTCACAATCATCTCAAATTAGTTTAAATAATTTCAAAGTCGTAGTTTGCTTTAGGCGCATTAATAAATCATCGTAACTACGGGAACGGTTCCCGTGACATAGTCACGATACGTAAATCCCAATTCGAGTGTACGTTTCACGAGACTCGACTCTAACTTCAAACAATAATAAAAATTAATGTGTTGTAAATCGCGGGTGCGTTTCACGTGGCGCGATTTGCAATGTGTACAAAAATAAATGAGTGCGCGACATCGCGACAAACCAATTCCATAAATACTAAAAGCGGTTCAAAAGTAAAAATGCACAATAGGTTTTGAACATGTAACAAACAAATCAGATAATTGGGCCAATTATAAACAGTTGAGCGACCATGCTAAAACCACGGAATCCGCGAATGCCTAACTCTTTCTCCCGGGTTAACAGAATTCCTTACCTGGTCTTCTTGTTTCGCGGACTTTAAACATAGTCAAATTTCCTCGATTTGGGATTTTAAATAACGGGTGACTTGGGACATCATAGTAATTATTCCAAGTGGCGACTCTGAACCAAATAAATAATCATATTTCGATTAATGTCACTTTAATTGAAAAAAACTCCCAATTCCTTTGAAAAAAAGGAGGTGTGACAGTAGTGTATTCGCGCTGCTGTATTCATGAATACAGCATCAAAAAACGACTAAAAATCAGGGTAGTCCAGCTGTATGTGCATGTATTCGCACCATGTATTCATGAATACAGCAGCAAAAAGCAGCTGTACACGCATGTAATCACATGTATTCGCGCCATGTATTCATGAATACAGCAGCAAAGAGCGCCTAAAATCAAGGCAGTCTAGCTGTACGTGCATGTATTCATGTATCCATTAATACAACAGTAAAAAACGCTTAAAATCATGGCAGTCCAGCTGTATGCACATGTATTCGCGCCATGTATTCATGAATACAGTAACGACAATCACCTTAGAAGTAGGTATGTCCATTTGTCTAAGAGAGAGGAAAAACATAAATAGCGTATTCCATGCCTTATTTCAGGCCTCAGTGATAGCATATACCATAAATACTTATTTTGCTATAAAATATAAAAGGTAACTATAGAAAATAATATTTTAAAATAATTTTAATTTATAATAAATAGGGTGTATATCTTTGCTAGAGGAGGTAAAATTTTCATTGTTATTTTCTTTAATTAAAAATAAATAAAAAAGCTTACGATTTGGGCCCTTTTCTACAATTCTACGTCATATGGGCCATCCTAATAATCATTAACGAACATTTCGCCGCGTCCAGCATCTTTGGACGGTTTCGCATTTTGTCACAAATTTGTAACACGAAATTCGACTATAATTGCCTTTCCTCTATAGGCACCGAAAATATACCATTAGTCAAATTCATAGTAATAATTTTGATCATTTACGTAAATAAAACAATAATCACAACTATTAGTGTATGGATTTTTTTTCTAGAGCTAATTATGGTAGATCAAAATTGTTACTTTCCGTATTTTAACTATTTATCTAAATGAGATATATTGGTGCTTGAAATGGACACAAGTCAAACAAATGACTCGTTTTTATCTAATTAGATATCAATTTCATCAAATAACAATATACAACGGTGATCTTAATCTTTTGCATAGCTAAAGTATTGTTGGTGATGTATTTCTCGATTTGAAAAATATAAAAGTAGATGTCATACTCAAATATTTGCCTACTAAATACACTCGAACACTGCCCTTCCTATAATTGAGATGGTGAAAAGGTTTAGATATAGTTTACTTGGCTCATATACCAAACACAATCAAGTATAACATTATATCTCGATAAGTTCATCTAAGCATATTAGACTAAAACAAACGTATAAAATCATATTCAGCAATTATATACATAGTGATTTTATTAGTTTAAATAAAATATTTTACAGTTGTATTTCGGTTTTAGGCGAGTTTCTTCAAGCTAGTAATGTTTTTCTATTTTTGTTTTAATTTTATCGAATGCGATATCGTCCTCGAGTTTAAACCAATATAAAACAGAGAAGAAAAGGGGTTTCTTTCCTTTTTTTATATTCGTGTTTAGGGGTGTTCATGGTTTGGTTTGGACCAGTTTTTTTCTAAAAAGAAACCAAACCAAGTAAGTCGGTTTTTCAAATATTAGAACTAAACCAAACCAATTAAGTCGGTTTTTTCTCAATTCGATTTATGTCGGTTATTTGTCGGTTTTTTCTTAAATATAAGACATACACTACCAAACACATATTTCGGAGACCATATTTTCAATGTAGCACTATCAAATCAATTGCCCCTTGAGAAATCTATTATTTACCAAGATATATTGATGATAATTGAATAAAATAGTGATGAACAATTTAAGGACTCAATTAAAAATATATTATTTTTAACACGAAATGGATTCTTACACTTAACAAAAGAAAACTACCAATCAAACTAGAATGTAAAGGTAAAGAACTATACTAAATGTGCAAACTATTAACATTTACCATTAAATTTTTGAAACTTTATATAAAAATATACATATATATAGGTGTAATAATGAATTTGAAATAGCTACTCCTATAGTCGGTTTGGTTCGGGTTTTTTCTGATTAAAACCAAAACCAAACCAAATTTGATCGGTTTTTAAAATTCAAAACCAAAACCAAACCAAACCAAAAAGTATCGATTTTTTTGGTCGGTTTGGTTTGGTTTTCGATTTTTCGAGTTTTTATGAACACCCCTATAATCGTGTTGCTTATTAAAAGGAGTAGTTGGCAGAACGTTCTAGAAGAAGACCTTGACTCGAACCGCGGAAAGAAAATTCAATGGGCGTAGCGTAACCGTTGAAAAGAACGCCCTCTAATAACTTACTTAGACCAGGGACTAACACGACACTTTAATTCCTAAGGAGCTGGCACTTCTTTCTTCTTTTTTGGTTCCATTGATCTGAAAAAATATAAACACAAAAGCAAAAGAACAAATATAAACCCAAACACAAAAAATATTCATAAGTTCTAAAAGAATACTACGATGGACCGTCAATTTTTTCTTCTTCTTTTATTTTCTCTCTGTTTCCTTTCCATTTTCCCTGATCTGTCTCGTTCTACTTCTCTTCGATTCTCCGGTTGGCATAATGATAAAAAAACGTACGATTTCTGTCGCTCTTTCTTTGTTTGTTCATAGATTCTTTTTCCTAATAATGTACGTTACTTTTATTATGCATTTGAATTTTATTGTTCAGAAAATCGTCGGTGCTGAAATTGCTGACTGACCGTTCTTCCCCTACAATTGATCCGACCCGGGTTACCCAAATCTCCTGGCGCCCAAGGTTTCTCCCTTTTTCTTCTCTTTTTGTTTATTTTATATAATATTGAATTTATATTCGAGTGATTCTGATAATGATATGAATTATGCAGGGCTTTTGTATATAGCAACTTTTTGACAGATGAGGAATGTGATCATTTCATCACCCTGGTTAGCTTTTTTCTTTTCTTTCTTTAGTACAATAAGAACGCATCTTTGTGCTCTTTCTGAAAAAAATGTGTTAAATGAAACAAAATTTACATTTTTACATTTACAATGGTATCAGTCAATCAGCTATGCCTCAATCCAGATTATTGGATTATCTATCTCTCACTTATTTCTTACTGATTAGTTATTCCTTATGGCTGACTGATATAAGTTTGAACCTGTTCAAACACATATCATGTATCTATTGGTTTGGTGTACACACCTAGTACGGGGAATAAGTTTTTACCCTTATTCCTGCACGAATGGATGAACAGTTCTCTAACCAGAATACAAAGGCTCCTAATGGACATTGGACACAATGCACGCATAACAGTAACAATGAAGTCATAATCCTTTTTTGATGAATAAAGAGCAATAATTAATGCGCTGAACGCTGAATTATTAATTCTAGCTAGTTGATATCATCTAATTACTTGGTGCCGGTAGATCTCTCTTTTGCTTAGTAGTTAACCCTAAAAACTCGAAGCTTGCCTTTGACTTGACATGGTTTATGTTTTTTTTTGAATGAGTAGGCTAAAGATAAGCTCGAGAAGTCCATGGTGGCTGACAATGAATCAGGAAAAAGCGTTGAGAGTGAAGTTCGGACAAGCTCGGGCATGTTTCTTAGAAAGGCCCAGGTTCACAACAACCTTCATTGTCTGTAATTTCAGATGTTTGATGGGTTTCTTTCCTGTCTTGTCAAGCATCTTCATCAAAAATCAATCTAGATGTGCTCTGTCATCTTCCTTGTGCCAGTTCAATATTATCTTGTGCTGCCTTTTTAGTTACTTGCATTCCTAATTTTACTATCAGAATTCGTCATTTTGAAACAGTGGCATCAGATTTTATTTCATATTTTCTGAAAACATTTTTATGTGAAAGAGGTGGATAGAGCACACAAAGAAGTATCTTCAATTGGTGGTGGACCTCACTGATTATGCAATAAACTTGATCACTGGATAACAAGTTTTAAATTATCTGGATCTTTAACGTTGGACCCTTTGTTCTTTTAATGAGGAATTAATGTTTGAGCTACTCTTACCATCCCTTTCTAATATTTCCCTTGAAGGATCTACACTTGTGGTAGTTGAAACTTTGACCATTTGACCCAATAAATATTTTGATTATGGTAGGGTATGATCAACTTTCTCTCAGCAAGATCATGTTTTCGATTTTGCTTTCGTTGGACAGGAAGATAGTACAAAATGGTAGTTCAATGTTTGTTATTGAATGGTACTGGGCTAATTTACCAATACATGATTGATTTCCATATTCTAAGGAATATATGTGGTAACATGATTAGAACTTAGAACACATTTTGGTATGTAATTTCAAAGTTTCTATTTAGTTCATATGCATTCTATGTGAAAAGGGGTAGAATTATTAATCATGTACCATATTGGGTGAACCAAGCATATTGTGAAATGATCTGTAGTTGAGTATGGAAAAACCTCTCTTGAGCATTATGCTTTTAGCATTCAATGCTTCTAGAAACCTTTTTAGAGATGGCCTGTCATTTCAGATTCCCTTCAGGTTGAGTTGATGACTTCCTTCTGAATGTATTTTCTTGCTCTGATGATATCCTGCTAAGTTCTTCAGCCTTGCTTCTAATTTGGAAATTAAATTCCTGAACTGTACTATGTTGCATCCTCTTTAGAAACTTTCCCCTGGTGGACTAATATTAGTCTAGGTTAATGACCGAAGAAGACCACTGACATTTGCTTTTTAATTTATAAGGATCAAGTAGTTGCTAATGTGGAGGCTAGGATAGCTGCCTGGACGTTCCTTCCTGAAGGTACTGCAGTTCTGATGTTGAATGGCTTCATCTCCCTGTCTCTTGTGTGTGTGTGTATATATATATATATATATGTGTGTGTGTGTGTGTGTGTGTGCGCGCGCATAAGCGAAATCTTACTTTATTAAGTTGGAATACAGAGAACGGGGAATCTATTCAGATATTGCATTACGAACATGGCCAAAAGTACGAGCCACATTTTGATTATTTTCATGACAAAGTCAATCAAGAGCTAGGCGGTCATCGGGTGGCTACTGTTCTTATGTATTTATCTGATGTTGAGAAGGGTGGGGAAACAGTTTTTCCTAATTCAGAGGTAATCAGTAATTGCATGATTCATCTTTTTCTGTTCTGCTGGCGATTATGATGCAATATTTTCTTCCTTTTTCCCCTTGTTAACGGGAAACCTACAGGCAAAAAAAACTCAGCCAAAGGGTGATGACTGGTCTGATTGTGCTAAAAAAGGATATGCAGGTACGTTTGGCACCATGAATAGGTTGAGTGTGACATCTGTAGATTTATGAATCCCTTCAGCATATTCATGTATTATCTGTTGTTTTCAAAGTACATTTTTTTGGATTCGTGATAAAAGGATAATAGGGAAGAAAACAATGTCCTCTTGCAAATTCTTTGTAATGGAGCATTTGCTTGTCCCTATGATGCAAAATACATGTTCCTTTCCGTGTTAATGGAAATGTCTTGCAGTACAGTGTCTTCATCTTGGTTCAGCATTCTGTATCTTTTTGTCTTATTCTCTTGATTCTCGTTGTTACATTGAAAAGCAATGTAAGTTGCTGTGGACTGCCATCTTGGATGCGCTTCCTCATTGGCTAGAGGGAGAGAGCAATCTCAGAAGTGGTTATGCATTTCACCGTTTGCTTTCTATAGCCTCCTGTCACCCCCCCCCCACCCCACCCCACCCCACAAATGAACAAATGGTCTAAAGGGTTTCTGTAGAAGATGAAAGCATCAGTGCGAAACTCCTCATCCTGCTTCCAACTCAATAGAAGTGAAAGGAAGTTTGTTATTAACTTGTCATATTCTGACATGGTCATTTCTTATTTGCAGTAAAACCTAGGAAGGGTGATGCATTATTGTTTTTCAGTCTACATCCCGATGCAACAACTGATCCTCTAAGCTTGCATGGAAGCTGCCCTGTTATTGAAGGTGAGAAGTGGTCTGCTACAAAGTGGATTCATGTGAGGTCCTTTGAAACACCATCAAGTGTTTGTAAGGATCAGAATCTGAACTGCCCCCAGTGGGCTACTGCTGGTGAATGTGAAAAGAATCCTCTATACATGGTGGGTTCTGAAGATTCTGTAGGTCATTGTAGGAAGAGCTGCAAGGTTTGCTCCTGATAGGAATATGCACACAAAAATTTCTATTACATATAAGTAATACAGCAATCCTATCCTTAATCTTTGTATATCTAGGTTTGTACATTTAGTACCTTTTAGACAGATCAAAGTAAAAAGGAATTTTTTTTTTACCCTTGACGGATTGATTAAGTGAGAATTTTTCGTGATAGTATTGATACTGGTCAAGGTTTTGACATTACCCTCAATCTTGGCCTCCTTGTTTCTTCTCCCCATGGCTGCATTTTTTCCCTTTTCTTTCTTTGAGGGATAAGGATCAATTACTCTTTTGCCATACAAAATATCTTAATTTTATCTTATGTTATATACCTTTTTGGGAAAGATTGATCCAATGGATTTCCAGACCTCCACGTCTTAAAAGCTTTGCGGCAAACACATATTTAATAGCTTACTACACTAAGAAGAAAAATAGGAATTTAATGGGGAGGGGTTGGTTGGTCTTTAATCTGTCAATGAAAGTAATTGCTTAGCATTACTGAACCTAATTATAAAATCAAGGAAGAAATGGTTGTTATGTGATTTGTGATATCTTTCTAGTTGCATGGTAAAATTTGCATCTAAAAGGTACTAGAACTTTAGGCCAAGGGAAATCAAGTGCATAAAAATAATTACTCAAGAAGTGAGTCAAATAGTCTGCTACTTTTTGTCCTGGGGTGTTGTCCAGCAATAATTATTTCTCAATTCCCAGCAAACTGGGATCGCCTCTATGAATTTTCGCTATGCTTATTGCTTCATTCAAGCTTATCTAAATTTCTTTTTGCAAGAGATGAGAGAAATTCGATGTCAATAGTGGTCATGAATCATAACTTGCTAGTCGAGTTGTAACTTTGACGGTATTTTGATAAGCTTATAAATTGGTCAAATTTGTATATAAACACATTTTAGTTTATTTGAGTGTTTGGTAAATAACAAAAGTATCAATAAAATACTTACAAGTTAAGATCAACCAAAAATCATAAGTAGGTTACTTCTCGCCTATGTTTGTTCACTAATATAAGTACTTTGATTTAACCAAATTTTTTATTATCCCAAATACTTTTTGGGAAATCTACACATTGTTGCTGCCCTCTAAAATAATAATTGGTGTAAATATTTTTTTTATATTAATATATAATATACATATTTTATACGTAATCAACACTTTCTGCAGTTCTTGAAATGATGTTTCCAAAACAAAACCATCAGCTCACTCTTCATTTTATTTTCATAGTTCACCCTTTTTTTAATAAAGATATTCTTAACTTATATTTTTTAATAAATAGATTTAAAGGCATTGATGCCATTTTTAACTAGAGTAAAGCTTAACACATTTTACCGAGTTTATTACAAAATTTAGCACTTGTGTAAAACACGCAACACTCAAAACTTAGATCTTATGGACTAGTTCTAATCAGTAAATTCAAACGCGCTCTTTATTTGGGAAAAAAGTTACAATTTGACAAGCAGTTCTTGTTTGGCTCAAAATTAGCATTATACTTTGTAAGCTAGAAAACAATCGAAAATAAGAAAAGGGTAAATCGTAATCAAATATAATAAACCTAGAGATGCAAAGATGATATTATTGTTATAAATCTGGTATTGCAAAGTGATAATATGAACTTAACAAAATATGTTTGTTTGAGGTAGAGATAGAGAGAGAGACAGAAAATCAGAGAGTTGTATTAGATCCGAGACCCCCTTTTACAATGTGAAGGTCTCCTTTATATAATAAGAGACCTTCCTCGAAAGAATCAAAAAGTTACAAAGACAGGTGACGTCTCCCTAGTGAAGACACTGAGTCCTAAACGATGTCGCTTTCGTCCCCACATCCGAGTCGTGCCCGCTACATTAGTCGGCGTGCACTCATTGGACGTACCCTCTGGCGTAGGGATGCTGACGATCAAATTTGACCCCATACAGTTAGTCCCTCCGCTCGTTGGAGACGCATTCGGGGGGCGTCTTCGATGGGCGGAAATGCGAACCTCGGCTTAGGAGAATTTGACCTCGACCAGGGGCGACAATATGAAGGAGGTGAAATATATGACGTTGTAGAGTCACTGACGCGTGGCTTCCTTTTTGGAATGACGTCATCGCCTGTATGCGTCATCGTTATATTTGCCCCCGAGGCGGTTCAGAGGGTGATGGGACATTTTGGTTTCCCGCGCACGTTTCGAATCGTGACTTTTCGATTTCTGCGCAACTTATCCCTATAAGTAGGAGAGAGGTTCGATTCGATTCACCTTTCAAGCCTTCAGAAAGCATTTTTTGATTTACTCCTTTGTCTTCCTTTCCTGTAACCGTTATTTCGTGAGGGACTCTCCCACTTCTGCTGAAACCACACTTCCTATCGTCAGTGCTTCGTTTCTTACGCAACATAATCATGACAAAACGTGGACAGAGTAGTAAAAAGGCTAAAGATAATGCCCCGTCTAGGGTTCCGCCATCTTCCGGTGGTGAAGGGGAAAAGGCGGAGAAGGCCCTTGTTCCTCTCAGTGTAGACAACGTCCTTCCGAAGGAGATGCATGTTCGCAGGGATTTTCCAACTAAAAGCCCAGACCTTCCCTGGGAGCACAGCGTTTTATTACAATCCCACTTAGATGATCTTCGAGAGACGTATCATATTCCGGACCACGTGGAAATGGTTCCGACCTAGACGGACTATGCCAATGTGCACCGGCCTGGATACTGCACATTCTATGAGTACCCGTTCTTGATCGGTTACAATCTTCCAATCTACCCTCTGACGGAGGAGCTTTGCTGATTTTACAATGTGTGTCCGGCTCAGCTCACTCCCTACACCTTGAAGGTGTGCCGTATTATGACTACTTATGCGGCCAGGGCTGAGTGCAGCGTCTCGGTCCACCACCTCCTGCAGTTATTCAGCCCTGGTTACCTGAGGGGTACCATGCTGCAGTTATAAAGCCGTGGCACAAGGGGCTTGGTTGTTAAAGCCGATGATAAGCCCAACCGCCGCTTTTGGCGTAAATATTTCTACATCAGGACGGAGCACCTGGTGTCAAATCCTGAAGGGTTCCCGGAAAGATGGAATCCAGAACGTAAGTATTTCTACTCGTAGAATTCAGGGCTGCTTGCGCTCTTGACCATACGGCCATTGTAATTTCTTTGCTTTTCTCCTCTCTTTTTTTTATATCCGCAGTGAGGGCTTCTCCACCCCAGTCTACTGATGATATTAAATCATGGGTGGAAAGAATAATACCTTATGCGGAGGAATGCCGTACCTGGGCTGCATTTCTTCAACAGTACGGCCCGTCAGGTAATTCTTTGGCTACGGTTTGGGAGTTCCCTACGTTCTTGTCACCTGACTTTTTTGCGTTGGCAGGTCGGAGCGCCCCTAAGAAGAAGAATAAGAAGAAGAACGTCGTCACCTCACCTGGGGCGGGGACTGACTCTGAAGATGGATACATACCCTGTGGCTCGCCCAGTGATGGCGTTGCGGAGGTTCCTCAACCGCTGCCCGTGGCGGCGTCCACGAGGGAAGCGACTCCTTCAATGCTATCTCCACGGGCTGTGGAGGAAACTTCTGAGAGCGAGGAGCCGCCGGAAAGGAAAAGACGCCGGTTGATAACCGGCAAGGGGATAGCCGCAGAAGACGAGGGAGCGAGCGAGCCCCGTCGGGAGTCGAGGCCAGTTTTTATGGCAGATGCCATCCGTTCCGGGAGGTCGGCTCCCCAAGGGGGGGCGCTTCTCGACGCCAGCCCAACACGCGTTCCGGAGAGCGGCTCGTCGGCTGCCGTTGGAGAAGAGGGCGATGATACCGAGAGGGCGGGCCCTGAGGCCGCCCAGGCGGACGCAGATGTGTTAACGCGGGTTTCGGCCCGTGTGAGGATGACAGCAGGTAGATCCAACCGCCGAATTCTGATCCCAGGAGGGTATAACCTGTTGCAACACAGCGAGCAGGCCGCAGCGAATATGACCCTACTATGTGCGGCCGCTGAGCGTGAAATGTTAAAAGGGGTTAGCGACGGGGAACTATCACGGAGGGTTGTCGGCGCGGCCTTGCAGGTATTTTTCGATTTTCTTCATGCACCGTAAAGTAAATTTTGATGCATACTGACTTGCCTTTCCTCTTTTTCCTCTTCTTTAGACTCTTATCTTGGAGATAGAGAGGGGGCGGCGAGCGCAAAGGAAGGCAGCCACCTTTAACAAGGTGGTAAAGAAATATCGGCGGTACCGCGTCAAGCATCAGGCGCTGGCGGACCTACTCAAGCAGGACCCGGAATTTCGGGTTTTCCGTGAGGGTTTGGAGCAGTCTGAGGCCCAGCTGAAACGGAGGGTGGCCGAGTTGGAGCAGATCGACGAGCAGCTGATGACCGCCCTAGCTCGGAACATTGAGCTGGAGACTCTCCTCCAGTCTAAGGAGGAAGAGTTGGAGGTTGGCCGTGGGGTAGCGGCGGAAGCTGCTGATTTGCGGATCAAGGTTGCCGCTATGACTACCGAACTCGATGCCAAGGCTGCTGAGATTAAAGTCCTTAAGTGGACTGCTGCACCGAGGCCTGATGAGGATGCGCATCGTGAGGCACATGATATGTGGGTGTACGCCGAGGCTAGATTGGTCGTATTCGAGGAGTTCTTGCTGCGGGTCGAGCTACTGAGGCGGAGGTTCAGGAGCAACGGCGCATAGCCCGTGTCGCCCGTGGAACTTGTGGGTATAGTTCTGATTCCCTAGACCGGGCGGGTTATAACTCCGAAGATGTCAACCGTTTAGAATCCGGCTCTTGGATCTCTGCGGCCTATCAGGCCGAGGACGGCGGCGGACGAGATGGCGGTCCGACGGGGGGCGGTGAACAGGATGGCGAAGCCTCTTAGGACTTGTATTCATTTTGTTTTGCTGTTTTTGGAGACGTAAATGGGTCCTTTTGTACATGTATTTTTGGATGATAATGGAAGTTATACTTTTGCTGTTATTCTTTTCTTTTGGTACCTTTTATTTTCGGCCTTAATGTTGTTGATAGCCTTAACCGTGTGCGCAGCTTCGACTATCGTCGAGGTACCCGCTGTCATAGTCGAGCTGGGTCGACTTATCGGCGTCGATGGCCTTAGCCATTATACCGTTGATGGCCTTAGACACGTGCGTAACTTCGACTGTCGTCGAGTTATTTGACGTCGTAGTCGAGCTGGGCCGACTTATCTACGTCGATGGTCTTAGCCATTATATATTTTTGATGGCCTTAGCCATGTGCGTAACTTTGACTATCGTCGAGTTATTTGA